AGGAGACTCATCAAGATGTGTGTTTCGTCCAATGGACTGTGTGTGCGGGAGGGCGGGGACCCTCCTAGCACTTAACACAGAACCTACCACCTACCTGCCCCCTGCCGGCCAAATTCCACTCATCCTTCAAATCTCACTTACCTACCCTGTTCTGGGAGACATCCTTCTCTGAGCACCCAGACTTGGGGACACATTCCTCTCTATAGCTCCAGAACATCTCCTGTGGCACTTACCACAACTGCAAAAGCCAACTGACTTTAGTATGTCTCCCCATTCAATTTTTTAATCTTGTTTCTCTTTGTCCCAACACTTAAAACAATGCTCATCACAAAACTCCCCTCCGGTCAGCCCACAAACATTTTTATGATGATCCCTAAATTGTATGCAAAATTCTATGTGCATGTACATATTTCTAAAGAACCACCCATGGCGTCTGTTGGAGTTTCATGAGGGGTTTGAGACCTAAAAGCAGTTAAAAACCTCTCCCCAGGAATTGAAAATGCTCTCTCCTTCAAAACAGCACTGCTAGCCCAGACTTCTACTATGCATAACTGTCCCCACTTGCATACATGTTCCAAGAGGACAGGGATCTTTATGTTTTGTACAGTGATGTGTCCCAAATGCCTGGAATGGGGCCTGGCCCATGCTGGGTCAAGGTGTAGAAAAGATCATAATCTCAGACTACTGTAGTAGTTGTAAGATCTGTCCAGGTGTTGGTTAGAGATGGTTACATAACAAACTATCCCGCAACGTAATTGCTTCAAACAACATTCATTATCTTGGTTTCTGTAGGTCAGAGTCAGGGTGCAGTTCAGAGGGGTCCTCTGCTTCCAAGGTGGCTCGCAGAGCTGGGAAGTGTCAGCAGGGGCTGCGGTCATCTGGAGAAGCAGAAGCAATCACGGGGCTGTCGGTGGGACTGAGTTCCTCGCCCATTCGAGGCTGCCCTCAGTTCCTTCCACATAGGCCCCTTCAAAGGGCCACTCACAAAATATAAGCTGGCTTCCTCGTGGTAAGCAAGAGGAGAGAGACCACTAACAAGATGGCCATTCCAATCTCTTGTACCTTAACCTTGGAAGGGGCATCCTGTCACCTCTGCTGTGGTGTTTATTAGAAGCAAGTCTGTAGGTCTAGTGCACACTCAGGGGAAGCAGACTGTACCAGGAATGCCTGGCTGTGGGCAGGACCACTGGGAGCCACCTAGAGCCTGCCTATCCCTGGACATCGACATGTTTTCTCATCTAGCATCTGGCTCACCTGAAAGCCCAGGGCAGATTAGGACCAAATGCCTACTGGCCAAGCAGAGGATGAGAAAAGAAATCAGCAGTGGGAGTTTCGCTGCTCTTCCTTGGTTGCTCCCAAGCAGAAATGGAGGCTGACTGATACTTTAAACTTTCAAAAGAAGTCAAATGCAGGGGCACCGGGGTGGCCCAGTGGTTAAGTGTCTGCCTTTGGCTCAGATCACGATCCCCGGGTCCTGGGATTGAGTCCCACATGGAGCTCCCTGCTCCTCCGTGGGAGGCCTGCTTCTCCCTCTTCCACTCCTCCTGCTAGTGTTCTCTCTCTCTCACTATCTCTTTCACTGTCAAATAAATGAATCTTAAAAAAAAAAAAAAAGTCAAACCCAGATTTTTGAGACATTTCCTGATTTTAAAAATGATAACCTAGCAAAAATACATTAGGATTAGGAATTTTGGACTCCGCTTTATGGCAGAAAGAGCCTAACCTATTCTGCCACCCTTTGTATGTGTGTCCCATCTCTCCTATACCCCCTCCAGCTCCCCACAATATTCATGAGAGCCAGGACACAGCAAATGCACTTTGGATACCTTTTGTGGCTCTTTGCATGGAGCAGCCAATAATAAATATTGTTGAATGAAGTACGAAATTGCTGATGTGTACCTCTTGAGAGACCAAGCCCCCTACCCCCCGAATTCTCGAGCAACAGTTAAAAGTGGGTTCTGCTGTCTGAATAAGCTGGACCCCTGCCTCTGTCCCTTGCCTGTTGCGTGACCTTCAGCAAGTTAACTACCTTTTCAGAGTTCAGCTTCTTCATCTGCTAAGTGAGAATAACTGTACCCGCCTGCAAGTTGTTACAAGGATTAACCGAAGTGATACACTTCTTAGCACACCAGGCAACTGAACAGCTGTTCTCACGGGCTCCCTGGCACCTCTCCCCTTCACTGGTACCTCCCGCCATCTTCCACTACCCACCCAGCGGGCAGCCGGGAGAGCAGATCTTTCGCTGCCAGGGTTTACATCCTCCAACGCTCTGCTGCTGCCCTTGGCAGGAGAAGATCCAAACTCCTTAACGCAGCTCCTAAAGGCTCTTTTGGAGCTCTGCCTGCCCAGCCCCCAAGGCTCATCTCTCACCACCACCTCCCTTCACACTCGGCACTCCAGGCGCACTGAAGCTGTTTCTTGAACGCTCCACACTTTCTGCCACTTCAAAGCCTTTGCAAGTACTATTCCCTCCAGCTGGAACCTCTTCTCTCTGCTCCTACCACCCCTTCTAGATGTTCCCGCTATGCGCTCTCAGAATTTTTGATGTTCCTTGCTAAACCTGCGGCAGGCACCACGTCTATCTTTCTCACCCCTCCCTTCTCCCTCTCAGGACGCCTGCAGGGAAGAGGCAAACGGGCATTTGTGGAATTGCCCGCTGCCAGGCTGCTCCTGCGAGCAGACAGCGCCACCTGTCGACCCACACTTGCACTTCGGTACTAGAAAGGAGCCTTCGCCTTCTGCCTGCCACTAAGGTCAGTGCACATGGCTTAAGTTTGCCCAGGGTCTTCTCACACCAAACTCAGCAATAACAAACACACAAGCTAACATTACCGAGCACTTAATCTGACAGAGGCAGGCACTTTCCTAAGTGTTGCAGTTATGAACACTTTCCATTTTCACACCATTCATTCAAGGAGGTGGGTACCACTATTACCATGTTATGGATGGGGAAACTGAGGCACACGGCAGGTAAATGTCTCACCCATGATCACACAGCTAGAAAATTCCACCACAGGCGGTCTGGCTTGGGCCTGCACCTTTTTTTTCCCCCCCAAGATTTTATTTATTTATTTGGCAGAAATCACAAGTAGGCAGAGAGGCAGGCAGAGAGAGAGGTGGAAGCAGGCTCCCTGCTGAGCAGAGAGCCCCAAGCGGGGCTTGATCCCAGGACCCTGGGATCACGACCTGAGCCGAAGGCAGAAGTTTTAACCCACTGAGCCACCCAGGCACCCCTCCCCTTTTTTCTTTTAAACAGAGGGAGAGAGAGGTGAAGGGAGGAGCAGAGGAAGAGGAAGAATCCTAAGCGGACTCCTCCAGAGCCTCCCTTCTCCCCTCCACCCCCACACATGGTCCAAGGCAGGGCTTGACCTCTTGACCTCACAACCCTAAGATTGTGACCTGAGCTAAAATCAAGAGTCAAGAGTCAGACGCTCAGCCGACTGAGCCACCCAAGTCCCTTGGCCTACACTTCTAAGCTCCAAACTCACTGCGTCTAGTGCTTCCTTTACCCCATGCCCAGTGACCTGGTGAGGTTCTGTCCCCCACACCCACCTCTCTGCTATGAAGGCACTACTGCCACAGTGGCATTGACATCAACCAAAATCCCACCTGGAGGGAGTGAGCCACACATTCTGAAAGGTGCACAGCTCTCCAGGACACTCAGGAACTTGGGGCAGTGGTCTCCTCAGGGAGACAGCAAGAGCAGCAGTCAGCCCTCACTCCTCTCGTGAGAACTCCGACAAGCAACCAGGGCTCTGGGCCTCCACTGTCTAATAGGGCCCCTTAGCCCAGCTGAGTGGATTAGATCAGACTCTTCTCCCCCACTGAGGCGTTTTATCTGCATGCATTACATCCGGAGAAAAAGAACCCCAGGATTTTCCCTCCCGTGTGTTTTCATCTTGTTTCTCCACGAGCCACAATGCCAGCTGAGACTGGCAATACAATGAAACCAAACTGGCAGGGCGGAAGATTATTCGACCATTTTCCTAGATCTTTGAGCTGTACATCAAATCTGGGGCTGATCCCTCCACACTTGTTTAACCTGCCCATGAGGTTCACAAGCCTCTGTGATCATCAGTGATCTCAGATTCACCACGGTAACCATGCTTCATCTTCACAGAAACCAGACGAGGACTCTGGGGCATGGCCTAATAAGAACCTGGCATTTGCCTCTCTTTCCAGCATTAACACTCTTGCGAACATCTGGCAGGACACCAGTGTGCACCATTATGGCAGCCCAGAAAGATGGCGGAAAGAGCTGGATGGGATATTGTATGAAGAGTGAGGAGCGCAGTCTCTGTTCCAGGTGAACGGTGAATGGCAGCATTTTCGCTCAGTCCCCTCCCTGGATCACTCACACCACACATAAAGCTGGCCCTGTCACATGTTTTGATATTGCCACTTAGAACCCAGGCGTTGGCTACTTCCTTCTCAAATCTTCCTTCCCATCTCCCATTCACTCGCTCCTCTATTCCCTTACATCTGGAAAAATGCCTGCCTGACTCCATTTAAATTTTAGGTTGTTATTTAAACACGTGTATACAGCTCGTATCTACAGAGCACTTCCTATGTCCCAGTCATTACTCCACATGCTGGACACATATTAAACCATTTAATCCTCACCACAGCCCTGTGATTATCCCCATTCCACAGACGAGGAAGCTAAAGCATAGTAAAGTGACATGTTCAGGGTCACACGGCAAGCAGCTGCCCTGGAGTATAACCCAGAACATGGCACCAGTCTATGCCTTGAAACACATGAGACTCCCTCTGCTGGTAGAGGCTGCGGCTGCCGCCTCTGCTTCCAAGTGCCAGGCACACTGCTTTCCATGTAGTTGGTGCCAACAAACCTGTTTTAATATATATACACACACACATCCACGTACATAGACAGTCACATCGCAGTGTGACAAATACCCCTCTTCAACCAGGAGAGTAGCTCTACCATACTCTGGGCTCCTGGAGGCTCTCCCGAGGGAGCCGAGGCCCGGCAGTCGTCATAGCTGATACCCAATGGGGACACTTTTATTGGACAAGTGGGAAGGGGCAGGGCGCACCTTGGGGTGTACAATGTCTGGGGCCTCACACAGGCCCGGAGCTCTGTTGCACCCTCTTCATCAGCTCTTCATCCTGCATAGACAACTCTGTCAGCTTCTTGCCCATCCGCTCGTGGATGTCCAGGTACTTGGAGACACAGCGGTCCAGGCACACAGACTCGCCCTTGGACAGTTCTGCTTCCTTGTAGTGGGGAGGCACACACTTCCGGTGGCAGGCACTGGTCATTCTGGGTGGGGAGGAAGGGCAAGGTCAGGTCAGCAGCATCCGGAAGCATACCAGGATCTCTCCATCATTCCTGTCCGGCTGTGCTGATTTCATCTTCCAGGAAGGCAGTGTAAAAACCTCAGTTCACATCTCAACCGTATTAAAGTGTCCTTGAGAATGTTCGCTTATCTGAGCCCAGGTTTATTTAAATAGGAACCATTAGTTGAGTACTGGCTATGTTCCAGGCATCATGCTAAGTGCTTGACACGGCTTGTCATGCAGTCGTTACAATAACCCTATGACGTAGGCACAATCATTATCCCCATTTTACAGATAAGGAAACTATAGCATGGAGAGCCTCAGAACCATGTAAAGCCGGGATACGAACCCCCAGGGTCTGACCTCACGGCTTGCATTTTAAAATTATTTAAGGTATTTGGAAGTGGGGTGTCTGGGTGGCTCGGTCATTGGGCATCTGCCTTCGGCTCAGGTCATGGTCCCAGCATCCCAGGATCAAGTCCTATATGGGGCTGGGGAGCCTTCTTCTCCCTCTCCAGTTCTCCCGTGCTTGTGTTCCCCCTCTCACAATCTGTCATAAATAAATAAAAATCTTTAAAAAAAATGTTTGGAAGTATTCTAATATATAGCCTCCAAGATAAACCATCACGAGAAAATACAGGGGGCTTAAGGCAATAAAAACAGCAAACAGATGTGGACTACTTACTGTGTATTGGGCTTAATACTAAGAGCTTGTCATACGTTTCTACACATAACATCTACAATGTCTCCACAAGGTAGGTACCATTACTATGTCCACTTTATTTTTAGAAAGATTTATTATTATTTATTTCTTGACAGGGAGAGAGAAAAGATGTGCGGGGGCATGAGTGTGCGGCTGCACAGGGAAGAGGCAGAGGGAGAATCTCAAGAAGGCTCCCTGATGAGCGCAGAACCCAAGGTGGGGCTTGATCCTGCGATCCTAAGATCACAACGTGCACTGAACAACCAACTGAGCCACCCAGGCGTCCCTACCTCCATTTCATAGCTGGGAAAACCACCAAACAGTCCAAGTAACCTGCCCTAGGCCAAACCAGGGGTGACTAGAGCAGTTACAATTTGTTCCCAAATCTGCCAAATGGTTGTGGGCACTAGCTTGGAGTTGGACTGAGGTACTGGTCCTGACATTGCTACCGACCGGCTGTGAGCCCTGGGAAAGTTACTTAACCTCTAGAAGCCTCAGTGTCCTCCCCTTAGAATGCGACAACTAAAATTGACCCAATCACTCTGAAGCTTAAAAAAGTTTAAGGCATGTAAACTGCTCAGCATGTGCCTGAGGCGGAGTAAGAATTTAAGAAATGTTAATTACTAAGTGGACTATGTGCTTTTTGGCACAAACGCAAATGCTCAACTGTTCCTGGAACCCGACCAGAGCTTGGACTGGTGCTTCTCTTCCTGCTCAGCTACTTGCTCGCCAACTGCATCCCAATCTAGATGTCCAACTTGTTCTAGTGACCCCATACTGCATCTGCACTAGCCCTCAACCAGGAGGAGTGCAGGTGCGGGCGGGTACCCTCCGAAAGGCAGCCCAGAGAGGGTGACCTAGGATCATTCTCAAAGACAAGGGGGCGCACTGTGGGCCCTTACCTGTTGTACATATCAGCCATCATCTCTACCTCCAGCTCCGCAGCCAGTTGCTGTGCCCTGAGCGGATCCATCTCAGCCCTGCACCGTGGAAGAGAGCTCCTTCTGGCCTCCTAGTCCTGGGAGCAGACACCACCGTCAGCTTCCACCCGGCCCGTTCCATTTCCCATCCCAAGGGGGTGGAGGATGCGGAGGAATCGTAAGACATGCGGCTGGCACCGGTCACTGACCTCAGTGCGCTCAACCACCCCATCTCACAGACGTGGAAACTGAGGCCCAGAAAGGGAACGCTGCCTAGCCCAAGGTCACATGTCAGTGGAGCGGCTGGAAATCGAGCCCTGGCGGCCCAGTGCCTCCTGGTCACTTCTACCCAGGAGAAAATCTAGAGACCGGGGAGGAACACTAAACCGCGGACCTAAACCTCCAGGGCCCTGGGAATTCGAAAACACGCGGAGCTAAGATGCAAAGGTCCCGGTCTAGGGCCTGCACCACTGAAATGGCGGCGCCATCATCAGGGTCACCTTGAGGAGGGAGGTCACTTACCACGGCCCGCGGCCTGTCACAATGCCCGCAGTGTCCCCAACTTCGGGCAAACACTCGAAACTCACCGTGCGACCAGGTAGGTTAAGGCGGAAGCACGTGGGTCACTTCCGGGAGGAAAGTCCCGCCTCCTTCATGATAGGACTCGCTTCCGGAATGAAGTACCAAAGAGGCGGACGGGCAATCGGCTACCATAGAGAGGGAGCCGCCGGCAGTGGCTGAAGACAAAGACGCCTTGCATGTGCTAGAGAGGACGCCAAAATACCATAGAGGCTTGGGCGGAGTGCAGAGCGCCTGCAGCCTGGCTGTCAAGTTCCCCAGGTTATCGCGGAGAGATTGGAGTTTAACTGTTTCGTGGGAAGGGGTAGAGGGTCGAGCTCGGTGAACCTCGCTCCCACCCCCGGAGAGTTCACGCCCCAGCGCAAACTGGCGCGGAGAAGGAAGTACTCCCCCAAAGAGCAGTTCTGTTTGTGCTGCGAATTAAGGTCACCTGGGACGCTTTAAAATATCCCGATGTTCGTACTTCATTTCATACCAATTAAAGAGTAATACCCAGGCATCAGTAAATGTTTCAGTTCCTTAGGTGATTTCTTTGTGCAGCCAGGTTTGAGAGCCAGTGCTCCAGGGGACTGTGCATATACAGGGGCATGTAGGTCCTGAGCTTTCCCTGGGGTTGCAGAGAAGCGAGGCACGGTTCCTGCTCACAGAAAAATGAGATACGTATAGTCTGTTTTATGCAGCTTCTTCTGTTAGACGCCCTGGACCATAAAGAGATGGATAGGAGTGATTTTGGCTGCCACAAGAGCTAACTTAGTGTATTTGAGCGAGGGAGGAAGAAAGTACTTGTGAACTCTTTTCATCTTACCAGACTTCATGTGTTCCTCGATCTGCACCCCTGCACCACAAAAACCCACCCCAATCCTTTGATTTTTCAAGGGATTTCCCGGTAAACGAGGTTTAGGACATGTAAATTAATGGTGCAAGTATACATGCCCATTGGCGAAGGTGGGCTGGTTGGTCACTATATGCTTTCCTAATTGCCTAAGAAAGTTAAGATTTTAAATTCTGGCCCTTAATTTCTGCTCTAAAGACTCATCTTTCTCAAGCCCTGTGCCCCCAGACTATAAAATTAAGGTAGGGGTGCCTGGGTGGCTCAGTCAGTTAGGTGTGGGACTGTCGGTTTTCCACTCAGGTCATGATCTCAGTGTGGTGAGATAGAATCCTGCCTTGGCTCCCGGCTCAGTGCAGAATCCCCTTGAGATTCTCTCCCTCCACCCCCCACCCCACCCCCCGCCCCTTCCTGAGTATGCACTTGAGCTCATTTTCTCTCTCTCTCTCTCCCAAATAAAAAAATAAAATCTGGAAAAAAGGTATAGCAGGGGCCTCTGGCTGGCTCAGTAGAGCACACAACTCTTTATCCACACCCCCCAACCTCTTTCTGAATTCGAGCCCCACCTTAGGTATAGAGGTTACTTAAAAACCTTTCCTCAGGGGTGCCTGGTCGCTCAGTCCTTAAGCTCCTCCCTTCTGCTCAGGTCAGGGCTCCCTGCTCAGCGGGAAGTCGGCTTCTTCCTCCCCCAGTCCCCCTGCTTGTATTCCCTCTGTCATTGTCTCTGTCAAATAAACAAATAAAATCTTAAAAAAAAAAAAGCTTTTCTCAATAAAATTAAGGTATAACATTTTGACTAAAATACATGAAACTTAAGCTTAAATTTTTTTAAACTTAACTTTAATTTAAAAATATATATTCAGGGGCGCCTCGGTGGCTCTGTGGGTTAAAGCCTCTGCCTTCAGCTCAGGTCATGATCCCAGGGACCTGGGATTGAGCCCTGCATAGGGCTCTCTGCTCAGCAGGGAGCCTGCTTCCACCTCTCTCTCTCTGCCTGTCTCTCTGCCTACTTGTGATCTCTGCCTGTCAAATAAATCAATAAAATCTTTAAAAAAATATATATACATATATTCATTCTTATAACCACCACTCAGATCAAAATACAATCTATTTCCAACACCCTCAAAAGTTATCTTGGGTTCCTTCCCAGTCATTACCCCTGCTCCCAAAGTTAACCACTATTCTGACTTCTATTGCCCTCAGTTAGTTTTGACTACTCCTGAACTTCATGTAAATGAAGTTATACATTATTTGCTGGTTTGTGCCTGACTTCTTTAGCTCAATATACTGTCCGTAAGGTTTCGTCTACATTGTTGTGTGTATCTGTCATTTATTCTTTTTTATTGCTGTCTAGTGTTTGCATGAATAAGTCACAATTCATTTATCATTTCACCTGTTGATAGATTTTTGGATTGTTTCCAGTTTGGGGCTATTATGACAATGCTGCTGTAAATATTATTGTACATGTGTTTTAGTGGACACATGTTGCTGTACTGGTTTTTGCTTTTTTTTTTTTTAAGATTTTATTTATTTATTTGACGGAAAGAAAGAGTACAAGCAGGGGGAGCAGCAGGCAGAAGGAGAAGCAGGCTCCCCTCTGAGCAGGGAGCCCAATGTGGCACTTGACCCCAGGACACAAGGATCATGACCTGAGCCGAAGGCAGAAACTTAACTGACTGAGCCAGCCAGGCACCCCTGGTTTTAGCTTTTGATAATATAGTCAACACATTATGGAATATTAAGAAATTGTATGGGAAAAGGAGATGGGTTCTGACAAGAATAATCTACTTCCTTGATGGGATTTTTATTAGGTATTGCAAAAGGTTACACACTGTGCAATTCTATTTTGAATAATGTTCTCAAGATGACGAAACTATAGAGACAAAGAGATTAATGGTTGCCCAGCATTAAGGTTAGGGAGGAGGTGTGCCCATAAAGGGGTAGAACAAGGGAGATCTTTGTGGTGATGGGGTGGTTATGCATCCTGATTGTGGAGGTGTTTATACAAATCTAAGCATGTGATAAGATGTCATAGAACTATACATACCATTGTTCCAGTGTCAATTTCTTGGCTCTGATATTGCATATAGTTATGTAAGATTTTACTTTCAGTACTCTCTCTGTGCTATTTATGCAACTTCCTGCAAACCTACAATGATTTCAAAATAAAAAATTAAAACAATCATTACAAAAAAGAAAAAGAAAAAATAGACTTAAAGCACCTAGCCCATGGCAGACGCTCATTAAAAAAATCATTATTCTCATTCCTTTTAATTTTTAGACTTATTAGAGCAAATGTAAAACATACAGACAAGTGGAAAGCACAGTATACTTAACTTCCACATGCCCATCACCACACTTTAACAGTTGTTAACATTTGGCCATATTTTCTTCATCTATTTTGACCTCTCCCAAATAAAGTCCTTTCCACAATGCCATTTTCATACTCTCAAAATTATAATAACTTCTTAATGTGATCTTTTGCACATATTCCATTTCCCACAATTTCTCAAAAATGGCCCCTCTTGGGGCACTGGGTGGCTCAGTTGGTTAAGCATCTGCTATGGCTCAGGTCATGATCCTGGGGTCCTGAGATTGAGCCCCATGTCAGTGTCGGGCTCCCTGCTCGGCACAGAGTCTGCTTCTCCCTCTCCTTTCCCTCTGCCTCCTCACTTGTGTGTGCTCTCTCTCTCAAATAAATAAATAAAATCTTTAAAAAAAAATAGCCCCTTTTAGGGGTGCCTCGGTGTCTCAGTCAGTTAAGTGTCTGCCTTCGGCTCGGGTCATGGTCCTGGGGTCCTGGGATCGAGCTCCGCATCGGGCTCCCTGCTCAGAGGGAGGCCTGCTTCTCCCCCTCCCATTCCCCCTGCTTGTGTTCCCTCTCTCACTGTCTCTCTGTCAAATAAATAAAATATTTTTTTAAAAAATAGCCCCTTTTGGGGGGCGACGGGCTGGGTCAGTTGGAGGAGGGTGCAATCCTTGATCTTGGGGTTGTGAGTTCAAGTCTCATGTTGGGTGTAAAGATTACTTAAAAATAAAATCTTTTTTAAAAAATGGTCCCTTTTTAAAAAAAATGGTCCCTTTTTTATGTGGGAAGAACACTTCAATGAGATCTACCCTCTAAGCAAATTTTTAAGTGCACAATGCAGTTTTTTTAACTGTGTGCACAACGTTGTATAAAAGATCTTGGGGACTTATTCATTTTGAACACCTGAGACTTTACACCTGAGACCTTATACCCATTGAACAACTCCCCACTTTTCCTCGTCCTGTCAGTGCCTGGGTAATAATTGTTCTTACTGATGATGATGTCATGGCTATTATTTACTATGAAACTGTCTTTTCCTTTCTATACTTACAGTTGGGGATTTGAGAACCCATAAGTAGGAATTTCCAATTGTTCCTGTTAAGTTTCTTCTTGTAAACAACAACAACAACAAAAACAGTTTATACAGCCCCAGCCCCCCAAGATCTCTTTGGAATCCAGATATGTTGTCTAAAGTAGCTGACCTCTGTCAGTACCACCCTGTGGCTGTGGCCTCTCTCTCTCTCTACTGGGTTCCACCCCTTCCCAGCCTCCCAGGCTCCCAGAAGGGAGTTGTGTGTTTGTACTCACCATGGATCAGTACTGTCCTCTTGGATGGGACCTCAACCCCAAAGGAAGGAATGCAGGATTGTCACCCAGAATCTGAGAGGGGGCCCTGACCACTCATGAGGGGGGAGTAGAGAACACAAAGCAGTCTAAGTGAACTCCCTGGAGGAGAACAGGACATGTGAGAGCAGGAATGTCAGTGACTTGAACAGAGAGGTCATTCCAGTGGCTTGGAGACAAAGCTGGCACAGTCTTGGTCACTGTCATCCACAGTTACCATTCCTCACCATGTCTCCTCACCACCATCTTGCCCCCGGCTTCCTGCAGTAATGCCCTGACTGCCTTCCCCACCTCAGTTCATGCTCCCCGCTCAGTCTGTTCTCAAAACAGCAACCAGAGTCATCTCGTCAAAAATTAAAGTTAGATCGTGTCCCTTCACAACCTGAAAGACTCCACTGGCTTCCAATCACAGAGCAAAAGCCAACATCCTGACAGGAGCCTCTAAGCCCCACAGGATTGTCCCCCCCTCAACCATGACCTTCTATTATCTTATTTACTTATTCAATATATGTGTATGGAGCACCTCGTGTAAACCAGGCAATGTGCTAGGCCCTGGGCACATAGCCATGGGCATGGGAGATAAAGTCTTT